CTTCCTTCCTTCCTCCTTCCTTCCCTCCTTCCTTTCTTCCTTCCTTCCTCCCCGCAAACAAATCAGCAAACAACGTTTCAACATGCTGGCGCTCGTATGAGGTCACAGCATTTTGTTCCGAACGGATTCGCCAGCCTGTGGCAGGCGCCCACACCCCCTCATCTACGCCAGAAGGCCCCAATCACTTCTCATTAACCCTTTTCTTACACAGGCTGCCTGACCGAACAAGAATGCACAACTGTTGATCATCACAAAAACTATGGCTGCGACAGGTCGTCACCAACGATCTGCACATCCTGTATCGAAAGTTCAACTCTTCACGGTTTTCGTGCTACACACATCGCAGCCGCACGTCGGCTGCTAGAAGAATCCAAGTGCCATAGCTGTCTGCTTCACAGCACTACTCGAATCCACTCGGAAAACAGCAGGCCTTTCCACACTTTGTGCAGAACTCCGCATATGCAGGCCAGTCATCCTGGTCGAACGGATCCTGGCAGAAGCAGCTTGGTGCTCTGCCTGTTTCACTCGCCCTCAACAACTGTTCTGACCCTTTTCCTCAATGGAAACGAAAGGATACTTGGCGAACCACTCCTGCGAGAAAGGATGCAAGTGCACAGAAGACTGGACTTGCCAAGAGCAAGCAAGGTCCTGATAGTATGTTGCCATCTCGCCTAAGGTGGGCAGGGATCAGCACGAGCATGAATACAAAAAGTCAACTCAGCAAAAAACAAAATAGCGCCGGTAATACCCTAACCCCCAGGTACCTACAATACAGTGTACTAGAGCCCCTAGGGCCCTATATAGTAGGTACCTGGGGGGCTAGGGATAGGCCAAAAAAACTTTCTGCAGAGTGTCTTCCAGTCTTCCAATCCGCCGGCTTGCTCTCGGGATTCTTGAAGTCCAAGTCGTACTTTCCGTCCTTGTCAAGGCAGGGGCCTACGCGGCACGACGATTCGGATGTAGAACATCGCTTGAATTTGGGCACTTTTTCAGTTCTATCGCATAGCCCCGAGACTAATTCCACCACAGCTCGGGAGCTGTGGGAAGCCTTTCAGGTCCACTTGTACAGAGACGCGGAGCTGGACCAGGCCAGAAATTGCAGGAGCTGCCAAAAGCGATGCACTGTACAACGCTCCCCGTTCAGGGTATGAATTCGAAAGGTGCCTCACTGACACTGCCATCGCGGGCTGCCATTCCGCAGC